TTGGCACACACTGAAACAAAAATGGTGAAACAGAAACACACTTTAGTGTAAGGTAAAGATGATATGAGTGCAAAATGCAGTTTTCAAATTATTATTTCATTTATTAAAGCTGCAGTATGTGACTTTTACATTAAAAATTTAGTGTTTTTTTGTCTTGACAGTACATTATGAGAGTTGTCCTTCAGCCACTTGCAGAAATGCATGGTTCCCAGTCAGAAACGACTAATCAGAGCTAGGAGGAGGATCTTAGTGCTGTCAATCAGGCTTGTGTATGCAAACCCTCTCCCTCGCTCTCTGCTGCACCATAGCACAGTCTGCTATGACTGCTCAGGCTAGTTAGCATAGCCACTGTTTAGAAAAACATGTACTCACTAAAAAGTAGACGTTTGGTACATAGGAACTTATAAAACTAACACACTATAAAGATTGTTTTCTGAAATTTTGACTTAACCTTCAGATAAATAAAGCACAGATAAATAAAGCTGTGCCCTGGCTGTGTCCCTAATAAAAGTTTTTTTTTGTTGTTTTTTTTTACTTCAACCCACATCAGCATAAAGAGAGATGGTTGAGGGGACGCCACAGGCAGTAACATAATTGCAGATCCAGGGAGGGACTGCAACAAAAACAACAGCAGCAGCAGCAGACAAACATATCCACTTCAATATGTGGAGACACAAGGATGACGATTTTTGTCATTTTGTTGCTGTAAGTGGTCATTAATTTATATCAGGAGCAGAGGAAATGTCGCGTTGTGCGTGCAAGAGAGCAGCCGATGGAAAACAGCGATTAGCATTACTAAGACAATAAACTGTGTCTGCATTCGCAACGCCCTCACTCTCAGATTCCCAAAAGTTTGCCAACATTCCCAAGTCCAACACAGCCTCTTAAGCTAGTTGTCAAAAATTCAGTTTTTGTTTCATCTCTGTGCTGTTGCTGACTTCATTTTGAAACGCCTTTTCAACTATCACCAGGGTCCGCAGCGCTGCAGTCCGTGTCACATAGCGGCGCTTGGTCAGTTCGTCAAAAGCCAGTTTCTTGTCGCATCTCTGAAGATAAATATTACTGATAAAAATGTCAGAGAATTTGACTTCAATCTCTGCTGCCCCTTTAACAGCACTTTTTTAAACTGAGACGTTAAAGACCAACTACCAATGCTCTGCAAATCCTAGAAACACTAACTAACAGGCTAATAAGCTTTCTGTAAATAAGACCCTGAAGAGGCTCGTTGTTCCTCAGGCAGTCTTCTGGTGCAATCCAAGCTGTCAGCCTGCTTCATATTCCACAGCTGCACTTTATGCTTCTAATTCATATTCAGATATATTTTACTCACCCATACCGCCTGTTCGGTTTTATTCCCACTTTATTTCTCCGTATATTGTCACAGTGAATGCAGCCTCTTCCAGTGCCGGTGGAAATGTTTGAAAGCCCCTTTTTTATGTAGCAGCTCTTCTCTCTAGACTCCCGTGTTTTTTCCTGTCAAAACAGGGCTGTAATGGATGCGTCTAGATGTACTCAGAGTCTTCCACTGTTTTGGCTTTTTATTCACTGATCTGAGGTTGTAATCTTCTTCACTGTTTAGAACGAGCCTGTCTCTCGGTGATTTAAGGTGTTCATTGCCTGCTTCTGCCGCTCACGCCTTGGGGATGCGGTCGGGGCGTCGCCGCGTGTTTCTGCACGCTGCAGCATCCGTGTGAAAGAAAACCGTAAATGTGGAAGAGGAAACGGATCAGGCTTGTTAGCTTGTGCATTCCCCAACAGCGGAGGGCAGTTGTGATGACTGAGGTAGATTTTGACTGATGGGGGCTACTTCTCATGATAATTTACTCCAGCTTTGGTGGAGGTTTAAAAAAAAAAAAAAGTTTGTGTAGCAAATGACATTGTATTTATTATTCAGGTCTGCATAAAGTCCTAAGAGTGAATCTATAGCATATACACAGTTGTGAAAAATGTAGGATACCACATTAAACATTAATTTCCTTTAAAATGAAAGATCTAATTGATTATGCTTGAAAAATAAAGTGGTGCATCTACAGGTAAACACCAAAAATGTACTTTTCGCTACTCCTTGGAATAAAACCTCAACAAAACGGGACCTTCTTTGCCTGGAATAACTTCAGTGAGATACTTCTAATAGTCACATTCCTCAAGAATCCGTGACAGTGGCCTGACCAGGCCTCCAAACCATGATGCTTACTGCTGCTTTGTAGCTGACATGAATTTCTTTTCTTGGAATACTGCATATTGTTTGAGAATAAAATCCTCTGCTCTGGTGTCCAAATAATTCAATTTTAGTCAAAATTACATTTTTCCCAGACATCCAGACCTGGAACTTTGTTTTCTCTGGTAAACTTCACTGTGGCCTTCATGTTTTTCTTAGAGCGCGCCCGACATGAAAGCTGATCTTCTGCAGTTTCTGAGGTTTATGCTGATTGTACAGGCCGTGTACGCCGTCACATCTACAGTAGCAAAAGTGTGCCGTGGGTCCTCTAATTACATCACAGGGTTTAAGATGCAGTTAAACCCTAAGATCTTGTGGTCGGCTCTTAGGATAATTGTGCTTGTTGTGAGTTGTTTTGAATGTCCTCCATTCTTCCATAGACAGTGAAAAGAGCGTTCACTCTCACTTCAACATTCAAGAGCACAACAAATGCATTTGTTATTGCATTTTGCAAAACCGTTGAACATTTCTTTAGCTTTCATTGTATATTTCTCAGCTTTGTTAGTATTGTTCAAATCGATATTAACTAATTACATGTTAAAATATGTGAGAAGAACTGACAGGTTGTTGTGGGGTGCCCCCGTTTTTCCACAAGTCTTTATATGCTCACTCCTCTCAATTTTCCTCGTGTTTCTCTCAGATTGGCACCGAGTGGGACGCTAAAGAGCGCATGTTCAGGAACATCGGCGGCCTGATGGGCCCCATGGACGAGACAGTGGCCATGCAGAAGTGGAACAAGGGGCCAAACGTCACGGTCACCGTGGTCTGGATCGACCCCACCAACGTCATCGCAGCCACCTACGACATCCTGATCGACGCGAGCGCAGAGTTCACCCACTATCGTCCGCCTCTCAACCAGCCGCTGCGACCCGGAGTCTGGAACGTCCGAATCCTACACAACTGGAGCCCCGTGGCCGAGATTCGTTTCCTTATCGTTCCGCTGGCCTATAACAAGCACCAGCCCATTAGACAAGGTGAGAGGCATTCATACTCCTTCTGCGTAATTAGAACATGACACCAAATAAAGTTTTTGTCATTTCATAGACACATCAAACTCATTAAGAAAACACTATTCTTGTTCAAAAGGGCATGCATGTTTCTGTGAATGTAGTGTAGTCTTGACCTTAAAGGAATAGTTACCCATTTTTAAGGTGGTTATTATTAACAGTAAGCATGGACTGTCTCGTGTAGCTAATTGGTAAAATTTTGCTGCTTATTTTTACTGAATCTCAGCCGACATGCAAACATGGATAACTGTAGCCAGTATCAACATTATAATACTCAACAATATCCTGCTTTCATACAATTTCCTCATTTGGTGCAGCATTGCTGCAGTATCCTGCTGAAACTAAGATAAGGTGTTGTAGTGTATTAGTAAAAACAACAGACGGCTTCTTTACATCCCATTGTTTTTTGCAACTTGAAATATTTCCAATCATCTCAATTTGTCTTTTTGTAAGAGTTAAAAGTGTGGGATGCAGGCGGGCAGTGCAGCAACAGGCAGGGGAGGGGGATGTCGTTTTTCTCTCCCTACTCATTAAGAGGATCAGTGTGGTGGAAAATGTTGGGGCTTTTAAAACAGAGACGTTTTAAAACTTTCGTACACCTTGAAGCCACAAACCACTTTGATCAGCAGTCGGTGTCTTCCTGAGAGTCGCTGCTCTCTGTGCGACCTCGGTCTAATGAACATAGATTAGATTTGGTCCCTCAGTTACCTCAAGCCAACTTCTTGTTAAAATGGAGCGAAGATCAAAAGTTGATTTCTGCCATTTTAAGACTTCGATCTCAAATGTTTCAGAGGTTCGTCCAAACGCGGTTTTATTGACGTTCACACAAACGCCATGATTACAAAAAAACAAAAACAAAAAAAAACAAACGTATTTTTTTTACAGTGAACAGTATGGTAGTCTGCAGATAATTTTTCTGTGTAAGACTTTATCTAAATTACAATGTTTTCAGTTTCCAAGAAATTGTTTCGTTACTACTGTGAAATTAAAACAACTAAGATATTGTAGGGACATCGTTTTGATACTTTTCCACAGTTTTTTTTTTCCTTTCCTTAGATAATCCCTCCAAGTAACATAATCATGTTTTGTCATATTTGACTCAAACAGGCCCAGACACACAAGATCTTTTATATGAAATGCATAGATTGTAATGCAACAAGGGAGTGATAAAATTCTATTTAATCATCTCTTCAGGTAAGATACTGACTGTTCATAACCTCTTCACAGAACCCCACTTTTAAAAGTCCATCTTAATTCTAAATTTTAATTGTTTTAATGAAGAACACATTTTTCAATCCTTAAATCTTTCTTTTAATCTGAATATTAATTAGTAAAACAATTTGAGTCATAATATGGACATTAATCATGGGCTGAAAGTGAAACTTACTTAATTAAAATATTATTTTTTTTACTTATTACTGACCTATGCAGACTTTCACATTATCCTCTGCTCACATCTAAATCTCTTATACCTGGAGTCAGTGTTTGAACTCCAACTTTATGTCATTCCACTGTAAGGCAGTCGCTGAAGTTGTCTTGTGTTTCTAAATTTTTTTCTCGCTGACACTGACATAGTGTCAGATGCTATATCGAGCGGCACGAATGCTACATTGACCATGAAGTAATGTTTGCTGATTTAGGTGTCCCAAAAGGTCCAAGCACACACAGACGCACACACACGCACACACACGCACACACACACGCACACACACACACACACACACACACACACACACACACGCACACACACGCACACACACACACACGCTTGTTTTGCTATCTTTGTGGGGACTTTCCATTGACTTCCATTCATTGCTACAGCCTAAACCTTACCTTTACCCTTTTCCTAACCCTAACCATCACATACCTAACCCTAACCCTATCCAAAACTCAGTTCATACCTTAGCCCTAAATCTGACCCCTGACCCAAAAACAGGGTTTCCCCTTGTGGGGACCAGGCTCCGGTCCCCCCCACGAGGAGCGATTGGTCCCCATAACGTAGTATATGTCAGGAAAATCATCCCCACAAGGTATTACAAACAAACGCACACACACACACACACACGCTTTCAGCCTTGTATCTGCAGTGATGCCCTTTCTAATCAAGCCTCGGGCCTCTACAGACCCTGGTTATTTGTCATCAAGTCACCCCTAATAACCCAGCGAGCAGCTCATACATACTAAACAGAGTGTTAAACAACAGCGCACTTAGCCCTCTAAAAACAATGACACAATTAAATCAATCAGTCAGCATGGGTAAGAAACAAGGCTGCAGTGTTCCAGTCCATAAGCCACCGGTTTCCTCTGAAAGTCACATGAGAGCTGAGATGCCGCCGACTTCGGCGTAATCAGTTCCTCAGTTCAGGCAGATTATTAAACCAAGAAAGCTCGGTTCAAATAATCTGCCTGAGCTACTTTAATGATGCGGAGAAACATCACATAAAGTTGCATCTGTCGCCTCACGCGAGTCTCTCATGAGACGACGCATGACTGATATGTGTTTTTGTGTCACATGCTAGTCACAAGTAAATGGTCGTGCCGACAGTGGTCCGAGTAAGTTATGTTTCCGCTCGTGGAGGTGCGTCTGTGTCCCGCCGCTGCTCTGCCTACAACCGAAACGTTTTCACCGAACGTGCGCGCTCTGAGCTGTAGGAAGCTGTCGTGATAATGTCAGGCTGCAGTTGAAATTGGGGGCGCAACGATAAATCAGCCTAGATTTTTATTTTTTTTTTTACATCAACAGAAGCTGAAGTAGAAATCAAACTATGAAGGTATTTGAAACCAATAATCCGTTATACTAAGGCTTACTTGTTCCAGGCTGCGTTTCTTTCGGAGAAGTTTTAAAAACACTTAAAAATTGTAAGAAAGGGAAAATGTCTGACGTTGGATATTTTCATGTTTTATTCCAAAAAACATGGAACAAAAAGAATGTTGCTTTAGGGACAATTACCAGTTTTTTTTTTTTGTTTTTTTTTTTAAGTGAACCTGGTATCAAAAACGGTCTCAAATATAAGTAGCTATATGGACAGTTTAGTTGGCCATCAATAAATCTCCATTGCCATCCTAAGAGTGTCAAACAATATTAGTTTGCTCCAGCTGGTGTGTGGTTGACATATGGAGTTATGGTTTTAGTATTTCACTCTCACTAAATAAAAAAAATAATAAAAATGGTCACAACAATTACTCTACGTACGCAGAAGGATGTACTGCACCACAGTTTGTTTATGTTTGTTAAAAACTGCGCTATGAGATGGAATAACTGCATCCCAGCATGTGCTTTGGTTTTAGCGTTTCATTTTGCTGCTTATAATTTACCGCTGTGTCTGGCACCATGTTCCCTTCCTACATGCAGTGCTGGTAAAACTTTATGATGTGGCAACAGCGCACACACACACACACACACACGCGCGTGCGCACACACACACATTTTACACAGATGCAGAAACAGTCTTTCAAGGTGCAGGGCTTTATAACACACAGCGGTAACACAAAGCGAACCGTCTGATGTGCTGACTGCACCTCGGGTTTGACTGCATCATTCTGTCACAAGTGTGTGAAAAACGCTGATGTCTGCAAACATCTGGGTGTGAGGGGAGGAGTGTTTTTTTTTTTTTTTTCTTTTTTCCCCTTCCTCCATAGCCATGCTTATAAGGGATGGCTGGCATCCCAGTTCGGAGACCAGTGAGGAATTTAAAGCTTCACTGGAGCCCAGGGTGGAGTGGGTGCTTTAAAAGAGAAGCTGTGTTTGTGATTTCATAGCCTCCCTTCCACGGCTTCATCGTCACAGGAAACAGGAATGAGGGCATGTCTTGGATCTTTCTGTTTACATAAATCTGGCACTGCAACAATGTGGCACACCACATCAAAGGCACACTCGGGAGATCGAATTGCAGATTTACATTCAAGCAAATTAGGAACCAGTTTGTACCTAATTCCCAGGTCTCACCACTGCTCACCGCTGTACAAAGCATTTTGTGTTTTGAAAAGTTTCGGTTCTGACTTCTTGAACAGCTAGTGCTCTGGTTCCTGTTGTAAACAAGTAGAGAAATTGGGCCTTTCTGGCTCAGCGGTAGACTTTGTGTGGTAGTGGAGTTTTTCTTCTTTCTTAAGTCTTGAGCGTTTTCACAGTGAAACTGGGCTCTGAAAATTCACACACCCTTCATTATTCTCTTCCACTTTTCACTTGTCAAAGATTTAGAGCGACTGCTCCATTTGCGCCGAACCTTCAAATGTAGACCGGGCCAGAAGATGGAATAACTGAATTTTTGATTTTAACATTCCAATCCGATTCGCCTGAGTCAAATGTGATTGTTTAGGTCAGGGGTGGCCAAGTCCAGTCCTCGAGAGCCACCATCCTGCAAGTTTTAGAAGTATCCTTACTCCAACAGACCAGGATCAGCTCTACAGAGGCCTGATAACGAGCCAGTCATTTGATTCAGGTGTGTTGAAGCAGGGATGCATCTGAAACTTGCAGGATGGCGGCTCTCGAGGACTGGACTTGGCCACCCCTGGTTTAGGTGGTGCAGTCACAAGATGTCTGCATGGGAACCGCTCATCAGTGTGCCTTTGGAGTCATTCAACACCAGCCTTCAGCTCTGGCCTGCAGTCAAGCCACTGAACTCCTAAATAATGTTGTAATGGAAACGAACGGTAGCTTCACGGTGCGTTCAAGCACTGTTGGTACATTACATGCTCAGAGTTGAAATAACCTTAAAATGCTTTATTGTTAATAAATCCAACCAAGTTGATGAATAACTAACATCCATGACCTAGTTCAAGTGTTGGTATTGTATACTAATTGTATTAAATGACAAAGGCTTAATTTTTAAAAAAAAAATAAAATAAATAGTTTTTTTATTAGTACAGTCTTTGTCATTACTCAGGGATGCAAATATGTGGTAACTATGAAGCAACAGCTTCTTGAATTATTAGTTTTTAAACTCTTAGTGAGTTAACTCTGACTCGAAGAGGCGCACACAGTCTACGTCACCATGTCAGCAAGTTTTACGACATGCTTATGAAGAAATGTATATTTACATGAAGGATTGCAGGAGATTCAAATTTCAGACTTCTTTACGGATTCCTGACCGTCCAGCAGGTAAACACTGACCTGGCTATGTTTACTAGGAAAACAAAAACAGTAATTTTTGCTTATACTTTGCCCTGATCCATCCCAAAGCACCTTGAAATATGCTTCACGGCGTGTGTAGACTCGGAGCATGTTGAGATTTTTGGATAACAATTTAGGTCTTCGATGGTGAAGCACCTGGGAAAATGGCTGGTTTAGAACAGGATGGTTAGACTTGGATCAGCTAAGAAGACTAAATTATACAACGATAAACCTCGTTAGAAACAGGCACGTATTTTATTTATGAACTGTTGAGGAAGACCTTTGAGAAACGGGGTAGTTATTTTTGGAGGCATTTCAGCAAAGATTATCCAGAGTGTGATTGGATGCGAATGCACCACCAAGTTAAAGCGTGTCAGTGAAAGGCAAAGAGAGGAGCAGCTAGTGGAGGAACAAATCTCAACGCTGGAGCGTGGCCCGATACAACGGCTGTGTGTCTCCACGTGTTTCAGCGTGTTGTTGTGTTTTCGCGATGCCTTTGAAATGCCTTGTTGCTGAAATGTGCCGTACAAATACAATTTGATTCGATTGATTCTTTTTCCTCTCACCTCATCAGGACGTTTGATTTCATCACAGATATTCTCCGGCTTTAGGTTTTCAGTTTTGGAGCTCCTTAGTCATGAGTGTCTAGAACGTTCACATTTAGAATACAGTCACGTTATGCTGCGATGCTTAATATGCTGTAAAAACACAAAATCTTAACTCTTGGAGACATTTTTCCCATACATTAAAGACGTCTTGTTCCACTGGCAGATTGTTTCACTGATAACTGGTACTTTTTCATCAATGTTTAGGAAGTTTTGACCTCAAACAAGCTCTTACATCTTGCTGAAAAGTTGCTTGTAAGTTGGTTTTGCCTTATTGCTGACAAACTAGACCAAAAATACCTGGAAAAATGTCTTTGTTTTTGCAATGTGATCGTGGTCATTAAACAGCGCTGCTCTCATCACTTGCTCCACAATGCCAGCCAAACTCAGGAGGGGAACCTGAACGCAGCTCGTGGAGCACTCTGTTCCCCATTCACTAATTTAATCACCAGCTCAAACAGAATATGGGGTCAAACTCCACACTGCGGTTAAATGTGTCTTTTTTTTTTTTTACCATGTTATTTTTTGCTTTAACTAATTAATTAAAATTATTAGGTTAAAAGTTCCAGCCCTTAATCTTAGATTTAAAAAAAAAAAAAAAAAAAAAAAAGCTGCTTTCTTTGCTGCTCATCTCCTTGACTCTGTCATTTCCTCCCCGTGCCCAGAGGACACGCTGAGGCTCCACAACGGCCCAGCGAAGAACAGCTACATGGAGCAGAGCTTCCACGGCCTGAACCCGGTGCTCAACATCCCCGTCAGCCTGGCCTACGTGGAGCGAGCCAAGAGGAACGCGGCCCTCACTGGGCCGGAGCTCGAGGGCTGGGTGGACGGCCTGGTGGGAGAGCTGTGGGAAGCCGCCGACATCTGCGCCGTTGGCCTCACCGCCTGCCCCGTCATGCAGCCCTGTGCCAAGAGCCCTTGGAGTTCCATGAGCCCGGATCCCAAATCCCAACTGGGAGCGCCGCACCCTGACGGCCGCATAAGGTAGCAGCAAGGCCTCCAGCTGGACGGGAGGCCGTGACACTGTTTGGTTTTTTTTATTTATTCGAGAGGCTTATTGCAGAAGAGGGGGGTTGGGGGGGCTGAAGGAAGGGAGGAAGAGGAGAATCTCTTCCTCTGCACCTCTGAGCAGAAGCAAATGAAAAAAGGTGGGGTCCTTCAGCGTGCTGTGGGTAAGGCTGTCTTAAAAGCGAGGGGGAAGCATTTCTCTGAACCTCCCACAGAGTTTATTCCTTGAGGGGATTTTGCTGGCTTTGCTATTTCACTTTTCTCAGTGTATTTATTTTTTTTTTTCTTTTCATGGCTGAGTTTTACTGTGATAAAACGTTGCAATTTTGGAGCTTTTTACTGTGCGGCCCAATGAATTGCGACGCCCTGCTTTTTGGGGCTGTGTGGCCATGCGAGTCTGAACTGTCGACACTGCTGCAACGAAGCCTTAGCGGGAAGAGATTCACCGGGAGGTAGCCGAGCACTGACACAAACCTGGCTCCCAAAGCCTCATCAACAGAAACACTTCGACAGCAACTGACCGATAAGCGCCCCTAAACAGATTAGTAACAGATTTTATTTTCATTTTATTTATTAGATAAACACACCAGCCCTTATATCTATCTATAGGCACCCCTGGTAAGGATACGTAAGAAGCCTTAAAAAAAAAAAAAAGCTAGCACTGCACTGTACTCCTGATGAAATTTTTTTCCAATTTAAGCTTTGCTTTTCATGCAACCTTTTTTTGTCACACTTCCAGCTGTTTTAAGCTTTTTTTAAATTATTATTTATTTATCACTCCATCTGTAGATATGAGGGTCGTCATGATGGTAAAGTTTCAACTCAACATTTAATATCAATTTTTGATTATTTCTCCAAAAGCAAAGGATTCCTTAGTAATACAGATTGCTCCGTGGCAATATTTTTCATTGTATTACAGCACAGTTGATACATAATTAGTAATTCAGAAAGAAACTATTATTTAAGTTTCTTTTTGTTTAGCAAAAACTGAACTAGAACTAGAAATGCACAAGTGTTTAAGGAAGAATTCAGACTTCATCCCTACAATCAATTGGAAGAAAAATGTTTCTAACATTGTAATCTAGGGTCTGAATGGGTTTTTGTTTCTTTTTTTTTTGCTCTTTCACCATTTCGTACCGAAATCTGAGATTTAACTGAGAGCTTTTCTGATCTGCAAAATTAGCAGATTTTTAAACTTCCAGCAGCAGCAGCTCATTGTTTCAACCTGGATAGTTCAGGTGAACCTCAGCAGGAAGGGGGGGGACTGAGGAGTGTCTGCATTTCCACAGCGCTGCTGCTGCTGTTGCTGCTGCTGCTGCTGTTGCTGCTGCTGCTGCTGTTGCTGCGCGAAGTCGTGTGATAACTTCAGGATGTGAAAGTTGCTCACTTGGTATCTCTTGTGACGCAAATAGCACCTAAATTCCCTTTTTTTATGTTGATCATATTTAAATATTGTTTATTTAAGACATGGACAGCCTTAGGCAAGAAACACATCTGCCTTACCTGGTTTGCATTTTGAACAGTCAGGCCAGAAATGAGTCTTTCTAACATCCCATTTACGACGATAAATTTCCAGACTTTGTGATCAATTTTAAAAAGAAGTAATAACTTATTCAGTTTCACTAATTTCACAGGGATTTAATTTCTAAATCTGTATTTCTTTTTCTTTTTTTTTTTTTTACCAGGGGTGCCGATTAATGTGTGAGGCGCTGTAAAATCACACATTTCTGCAGTTGAGTGCCTGATTAGGTTTCAGAGCAGCTGTGGCTGGTTTGGTTTTGTTGGGATAAAAATGCCTTCTTTTTTTAAAAAAATAATTAGTTAATTGGAAAAAGAAATATTACACACACACACACGCACACACACACACACACACACACACACACACACACACAAACTGCTTGTAGACATTTGTAGTTGCATTACTCTGTTTTGAGATTTAACATTTACATAGATATTAGACTTTTTTTTTTTTTTTTTTAAAAAAAAGCCAGGGTTTCTGACAGGCAGAAGAGAAGGAAATAATAGTTTCTTCTTTTCTTAATTCAATCTGCCTCAAACTTGAAACAAAATTACCTTAAGCTAACCTTAAAAGTCTTGTGCTTGTTGAGTTTATTCCAGTCATTTCGCAACACCTAATGTTGTACATAATTATTCAAGAATCTTCAAAATTGTATGCGTGAGGAAGAGGTATTGTTATTTATTTCTAAGTTTATATTAATACTGATATTTTTAGTCAGTGACTAAATAACTGCAACGCTGCCTTGGCAGCATGATGAGTATTTTTTTGTAATGGAAGCCGCCTTTATTTACAAAGGCCATCACCCCGAACTTAATATTGTACGCTTTTATGGCCCGCACTTGTGTGTCAGTCTGTGTTGTCCTGTCTGAATAAGACCTTCTCGTCCCGGTTTCTTTCATGGCTGCTTTCAGTGAAGGGATAAACGGTGCCTGAACTTTTTCAAATGTTGTCATGTTACAAGCACAAACTTGTCTACATCGTACTATTATTACGTTAGCCCAACACTTTGCAGTGTTCAGTTACGAAGTGAAAGGAAATAAGATGCTTGATTTTGTTTTGTGTTATGTCTGAGATTGAAGTATTTGCCTATTTTTTTTTTTTTTTTTTGAACATATAGCTCAAACTGACTCAGGCCACATGGCTCTGCATATTACAGTCTGTGACAAATAATGCGCCATGTATCCACATACTTGCTTTAATGTGATTCCCAACAGATATCGGCTTGTGTTTTTTTTAGTAACTTTGCATTCTAGTACGCGATTTAAAAGTAGTTCAACCTATATATCTGTCCACACATATGGACCTCCTGGCACCATGTTTAATTTTTAACAGGAAGTTGTGTTTTTTGGTTGTTTTTTTTTAAACATTCTGATTGGCTGGTATAGGTTTTAGCTTTGCGTTACGCTGCCCCCTATAGGTTTGGCACTTTTAAAGCAGCATTCAGTGGCGTATCTGTGCAGGTTCACATGAATGAAAACTTTTCTGAAATCGTTCCTGCGTGCACAAGACCTCAGATTGAATGTGGAGCATCTGAGTTATTCTACAGATTCTCAAATGAACTTTGACTGGGCCATTTTAACACAAGAATAAGCTTCGATTGGAGCCGACCCATTGTAGCTCTGGCTATATGCTTAGTCGTTGTCCTGCTGAAGGGTGAGCATCCGCCTTACTTTTTAAGTGTCTCGCTTCCACAATTTAGCATCTTTTGATCAAATCTTACAAAGTTATTTGTATGTAGTGAAGAAAAGCACTCTCCCAATGTGTTGGCCAAAAAATTTACTTTGGTTTCATACCAACCAGAGCTCCTTTCTCCACACGTCTGCAACGTTCCCTACATGACACAAATGCCACGAGCTTTCTCCTTTTCGCTGGTCCAGACTTGTTTCCACTTCACAGTTTTTCGTGTCTTTGTGTTGCGTTAAATGTTAATTTAATACATTATAGTTTGTGGTTGTAATGTGACAAACTTCGGGGGGGGAGGGGGGAGATGAATTCTTGCAGAGCACTGCATCTATAGGAAAAACAGAAACTGTCCTCATGAGCAAACACTCTGGACAACGCGTGGACTCGAAGGAGAAACTCTGTGTTTTGATGTTGTTTCCGAATGACGGTGAGTGGTTATAGTTTTCATGCTGTGACAAAAAAAAAGTACAATTTCAAGTGAATATTATATTATATCTTGAGTGCAAAAAAAAAAAAAAAAAAAAAAGAAATTTTTTAAACTTGTTTTACGGCACCTTGTCAGCTCTGCTCACGTTTAAAGTTACCTTTTCTCTCATCAAGACAATCTCCGGGACACTTGTATCAACTCGATCACGCTCGGGACGGCAACTGATCCCGAACAAAGGAGTTCAGTCACATATTTGCTTTACCTTGAAAAACAGTTTCATCTGAAGCCAATTAGGTCTTCAATCTGTGATTGTCAGCATTGTTTAGTCGTCGCACAAGCTAAATGAGTGGTTTTGCACAAGGCTAATGAAGAGACATTACTGTTCATTAACGTCAAGTTCACCTTGCCTCTCCGTCAGACGGGGAGGATTATAACTGCTGTCTCTCTCTCCGTTCGAATCGACTGGTTCTGGTGTGAAACGTCCTCATTCCCGACCGCCGCGCTCCGAACAGCCGCGTCACACACGGTACTCATTACGCTGTAAGCTCATTGACAGGTTTGGATAAAATTAATTCAGTGTAACTTAATGTGAAAAGTCATATTTTGTAACAAAAATGATTAACAAATGAAGATGTACTGTATATAGGTATTTTGTATTGAAATGTTGTTTCAAAAGAACACCATTAGTGTAAATACAGGAGTGGCGAATTGACACTGAAGTGTGAAGAGTTTTTCTTTATTTGTTTTTTTATTTTATTTTTTCCCCCAAAGTGTTGCTAACTGGACAAAAAGAGTGAATTCAGTGTTTTATCGATTAAAAGACATGAGATGTTTGGGTACTTCGAACTGCTGAGTAAAGGTGACCTTTTCCTATACGTGTCCCAGAGAATCCAGATTGTTGTTGTTCTTGCTAGAATGTATTGTTGAGCATCTGTTGCACAAATATCTCTGACTCATCATGTCCCCCGTGTTGTTTTATTCAGAGAGGCTCAGTGTGCCTTAGCTGATTTTTAGAACCCTCTCTGTCCATTTACAGAAATATTTGTGTTATGTTTTTTTCCTCTTCTTTTCTTTTTGACCTTATGTGAAGAAAGCCATGAGTTTATCAAGTGATCTATCAGTAACTCTGACACCAAATTGATGTCTGCTGTTGTATATATCATCAGGCCTTCTCTTGCTGTGATCGGCTTTTCTTTCCTTTTTTTTTTTTCTTTTCTCGTTCTTCCCTTTTGGGGATTTGTTTGATCAAACTGGCTTGTTTTACTTTTCTCTGACTGCTTTTTGGAAATAAAATTCTGTAAAACAGCAGCTCATGTGGATGTGTGATGGTCTACGGCACCGAACCTCTAATGAGCAGCGATTTACCAAGAACGGTTCTTGCTCCAGCCTCTCTCTCTGGGTTGCCTCCTCCAATCTGTGGACCTGTAGGTTAATTGTTTCCTGTTATGGGTCTGCAGGGTTAGCAAATAGTGTTTTTTATTTGCTAAATGCCAGGATCATAAAAGATTATTTTGGTGATCCTAACTGACCTACAATGCAGTAAATATGTGATTTGAACTGGATGTATTATTAAAAAAGGACGGATTTATAGTGTTTCACTTCTTCCACATTTTGTTATGTTAAAACTTTGTTCCCAATTGCATCAAATTAATTGCTGTTCTCTAAATTATACACACAAATATCCCATTATGGCAATCTGGAAAAACGGTTTTGAGGGCTTTTTTTGTTTGTTTGTTTGTTTGTTTGTTTGCAATTTTATTGAAAATAAAAAAACAAGAAGTCACAGTTATGTGAGCATTCAAACCCTTTGCCTTTTTTTCCCCCTTGTTCCACTTTTGAAACAAGCTTAGCTAATAGTAAATACATATATTAATATTTGGGGCAAATACTTCACACATAATCAAATAAAAGGAAATATTTTTATTTATTTCATATTGAAAAATCATACACTTTCATTTATTAGATAGTTTTAAAGTTACTCAATTTTAGTGACAACCAAAAGCACAGTTGTTCAGACCAAAATTGGGCTATTTCAGAAAACCTTAAACCTGACATCTTATTAAAATACAGCAAAACACAGATGGACCAGACACAGCTTGAATTAAATGCTTTTTTTTTTTTAAGCAGAATCACTTCACTGATTACAAGCTGTGATGAAGCGCGTTGCTAAGACTGTTTTCTTTATATTGATAAAAT